GTAACGAAAAGAATATATTCGAGATAGATAAAATAATTCGTAGCAATCCTTACAAAAAATCGGCCACATCATATCAGATATTCCGATTCACAAAGCGAAAATGCCAGGTATCGAAATTGTGCTCGAGTCAATTTAACCTTACACTAACGAATGTCGTTGTCGGGTTAATTAAATATCTCAACCATAACATCTCCGATAACTTTATCACAGCGTATACATTCATATATTATATCGAAAATATCCCTATTAAAATAAAACTTCCATCCAGATATGTAGAAAATGCTCAAAGGTGCTGTCACTCTACCCAAGAATTCTTTCAAATTTTCCGGTGTCAGCCATTCGATATCCAAGTTCAAATGCCGTAATGTTTGCGGAAATAGCGGAGCCAACTCGAACAACCTCTCTACAAATTCTCTTTCATCCCCGTATGGACCAAATAGCTTTAAGCTCTTCAAATGAGTCGACTTGTTCAAAAAATCGATCAAGTGATCTTCATGGCCGTTACGATATGGTATCCCCAATGTCCTAACATGTGGGCAATAGTCAGCCATTGTTTCCAAAGGCGGATGGTCGAAATCAGGTGTATTTGCATCGTCTTCATATAGTATATGGCGAAGGGATGTCGAGTTGATACGAATGATAGAGTCAAACGTCGAATATTCATTAGAGAAAAGCCCTTTGAACCATAATTTACGCAGTTTGGGATACGATGCCGAAGCAAGAGGTGCCAGTATTTGATCGTTCGGAAATCGGCAATTTTTAATGATTAATATCTCAAGAGCATGGCACCTTGCTAACCCCGCAAACGTGTTCTCGGGCGTCTCGGGAGGAAAGTTCCAATGTATCAATTCCACATGTACCAGAGACTTTATCTGACTTTCGATCGACAATAGAGCGGGCAGAGGACATTGCCCATAGGCAAAAAATTTCAAATGTTTTAATGTAGTCTGTCTGCCGATTAACGTTGCAAGCACCTCATACTCTTTTTCTCCAACTTCATCCTTGAGTGCATAATCTATTATTTGTAATTTCCGTATATTGGTTGTTGAACGAGCAAGAAGACGACATGCATCCCAGTCGACTATTTCATGGATAGATAATTCCCGTAATTCGTTGAGACGCGAGTTTGTGCGTTGGTTGTTAAAAAATGATAAATGATTCTCCGATCGTTCGATGTATTCCCAATCGAGTGAGAGGGAACAGATTAGATCGCAGTGTGCCCAGAAATGGTTGCTGAGCAAACTGCAAATGAGGACATTCAAGTCGTGATCTTTTGTTAGAGACCTGCATTAGCGTTAAGGGAAATGTGTACACAAAACAAACAAGAGCATCAAATTTATTAGCTGACAATAAATTAGATGTAGTGCATTGTTGCTCGTCAGTTGCACAGCGCTATACATACATGAAATTCTGCGTCCGTTGTAACCATAAATCTACAGCTGCATAAATTTTCTTTAAGCTTATATGCTGTAGTATGTCTGCATAGTTAAAAGTGGGCCCTTTCTCGCAATTTGGCAGTATGACTCCCTCGTCTACCAAGGAAGTTTTCTCATCTTCCCCTAGACACATGGTGTAAGTATTAATAATACTTGAATTCAGTCCGAACCTGAATGGATTCTTCCAGAACGATTCGATTGCACTCTCACACCACAGTCTATTGACCAATATACACGAGTAAAGTGTTTGTCTGTCGTGTTCTATGTGTTGGAACACTTCATAAAGACAGTCGGCTGGGAGACCGGTTGGGCGGATGATGCATGGAGGTGCGTTCTTTGCATGCATTTGATTTGGAAGATTCTCTGTAGATGATGATAGTTGGTCAAGACGTCGATTCGATTTATTTGCGAAATTTGATATTGATTTCTTCATTTGACCAATTGCGAGAGAGAAAAACGAAAGGGGATAAAAAACGAGATTAAGCGAAGAATGAGTGTTATCTTCGTAATCGACACGAATGGATTAATCAACAATGCTGAAAGGGACCAAAAAAATAAATAAATTTAAGGATTGTGGGCAGTCGACTGTGTAAAGCGCAAAAAAGATGAAAGAAAATTAAAGGAGTAAGATGTTTTTATATGATGATTTAATGTTGTTTGTGATGCCATGCAAATGAAACAGGAGCCAGGACAGTGGGTTACCTTTCCGTTTAAATGTACCAATTCGCCTCCAATAATTAATTATTGCTTGATATTGTCCATTCGTTATTTAATATGTATTTGAATTCAGATGGGAATTTTTTGTGTGATGGATGTGCACATTATTTATGGGCGACACATACATCATTATTTTTCTTATATGAACAAGATAGCGAACAACGAGACGAACTGGAAATTCTGGTTGGACATAAAAGTCTTTGTCAATAAATGTTGTACACAAAGGATCGGCCCAACAAAGAACATTGGCACCAGATTCTAAATTTCTTTTTTGGTTATTTTTTTATTTAGCACCAATAATTCGATGTGATACCGCTATTATGTTACAGTTTACGACGCTCATTAAGGAAATCCTGTGTTCTTATTATTATTACTCTTTGCCATATATTGACTATCAGCAATGCCGCAATTAGATGTAAGTGGAGTCTAGATGCAGCTAACTAAATTTGGAAAGATTAAATGCAACTTATAAAAAAAAATGAACTATTTTAACTTTGATATGTCCCGAATATTAGGGAGAAAAAAAGAAGAGATCTTATTAATGTGTGCCATGATTACGCAAGTTTCTTGTAAATTTCAATGAGCAAATATACATTACTGAGCCACAATGAACTATATTCTATTCTACAAAAGCCAAACATTATACATTGTTATCCAGGAAAGCCTTATCACAAATTATGTCTGATATTCCGATTCGAAAAGCATTGCACTGCATGCACAATGAGTCGAACTATACTCGAAAAGGGTTTGGTTAGAAAGCTCCGTATTTTGTGCTTACGAAAATTATAGAAATATTAACATCCATCCCACAGGCTAATCCCAGAACGTGGAAAGTACGCAACAAAAAATCGGGTCTTTTATTATTGGACATTACGGCACATCAACAGTTTTATGCCAATCTTCTATTTTTGCTTATTGTCATCGGGTACTGGTGCCTGTCCTCCGTCAAGCAAGGCCTGCATCTCATGTTTCAAGAAAGTGTACCGTTGAGACTCAACTTCTCGAAGCAATCTATTATTTATTATATTACATAATTTTAATTCAGTATGAGATATCACACACATTCACTTAAGGATAGATAAAGACGTTGAGCTACTAGTTTTTTTTTATATACTTTATAGTGATATAACCAACATGTCTGTAATGTTTGAGTATCTCACAAAAGGATTTACAGATATTATTTCTGGGCAATCCTAAGATTAGTTTAAATATTATATATTCGCTCTAGTATTAGAAACTTTTAATTGACTTTATTCTCAAACTAACACTTACCCGACAAGCAATAATTCAACAACAAGTACTTTTTATTAAACAGTATGGTTAACCAGAATCTCCATTAAGCATAGAGCACATTATTTATTCAAAAATGGGCTTGATGGGATAGAACTTTACGTACGTTTTATCATTGTGCACGCCTTTTTATCAGTGCTATTTTTATCATAAATTACATGACAATAGTGATTATAAAAAATTAAACTTAAACGAGGAAGATAATATAATTGACGATAGAATGTGTTACATACCAAACTATCAATAACAGTCGATATTTTCTATGCGAGTTGCGTTATTCCAGTGATTCATGTTTTATTAATCACAGGAATTCGACAAGACGGACGATATTATGGACTTAACTTATACTAGATGTAATAATCGGCATTTATTAATACAAGTATGCTGCAAACCAGCTTGTCTTGCAAGCCAATTTTTTATCTGACGTTGCAAATCTTCAACTTTTGAACATAAAGCTCTTTACACTCGAATCAATAATTCTGCACACTTTCTAATGCCATTTTATTTGAAACGTTAGACATTTATCTTTCGTTATTCTTATTTGTCTCTAACCCTGCATTAATGGTTTTTTATCATTGTTACTTGAATAGCTTTCAATGTTTAAGTTTACACCAATTAAACTCTTGCCATTTATAGTGTCAATATGATTTTTTTAAAAAAAAAATTCGTATAAAAGCGTTTCACTGTTTTCTCGACTTATCACCTGTTCTACGTTCTTCAGATACAATGCCGTCTTCTGTCAACATCGATAATTATGTCGTCAAACGCATTAGTTCCATTTTTACCGAGTAGGGACGCATCTAATAATTGCAACCTACCAATAAAATTGTACCATTATGAGTTTGCGTGATACAACTAAGACTTGTATGGCTTGGTTTTATCGCAAATTAGATGGGCGACCTATCGTGTAATTTTGGCAAGTTCTCAACTGTACAGGCATTTTAAACCATACCGAGCATATAATTATGTACGATATAACAGATTTTAGTATTTAGATACTAATACATACTGTCTTAAACAGTCATAATTGAGCCGCAACCAGCACTAAACCAATGCAATTTGTTTAAATAAATTTATCGACTTTACAACGGTGCAATGTTTGATAACATGTTTAATACATAAAACATAAATGTTATCTACTGTACTACGCAATAAAGTGAAAAAAGACAATTTTGATATTGTTAGCATTACTATATACTAAATTGCTACCCAGGGCATACAGTATAATATTCCAGGACTATTAGTTCTTAAGTGTTTGTGTCAATATCTAGATTATTTAAAATGTTATTTATTTACCATTGCAACAAGGAGAAATTTAAACCCCGTGATGATATTTATACGGTATTAGCGACGAGGATCCAAAATTGTTCAGCAGTGTAGAGTGAAAGAGAATCAATTGAAGATACAAATTAAAATTTTAGCTGTCTAAAGAGTTAATGCAAAAGAGATAGCAAATACAGAAAATATATATTCCGTATTAACAAAAATGGGAAATTTGCTATCAACAGTACTTGTATTTACTTCCCGCCCCTACTTTCTCACGTTAGTATTTTCTCTAACATTGTAACATAGTGCTTAACTAATATTGTAATATATATTCTTTTTATTACACATGCCAAATAATACGTTAAACTAGCTATAAATAAATCTATAACTTTGTAAAGCGTATCTCTAATTGTTTTGTTTGCATCGGCTGTAGCTATTTGATATATCATTAAATAGCAATTCTTTACTGTTATTATGATAAATATCTAAAAATAATAGTTTGCTTAAAAAATCACTACAAGCATAGTATGATGCGTATGATGCGTATGATGCGCACGACAACCCATTTTTATCTGCTGCAGCAGCCATATGTCAAGTCAATTAAAGTTGCGCAAAAATAAGTCGGTTGTAGTCTCCGATACATTGACACAACGAAGATATGTTAATAGTAAGCTATTTAGCGCGAGTCATACTGCAATACTAAAAGATTAAGTAGATAAAGAGTTGGTGCAACAACTAACTATTCGGGTGTCAGATTAGTATTAGCATATTTCTTCGCTTGTTGCTATTACGAATTTGTTTTACATTCCCACCAATGGGGTTGAGCGTTAAAAGCGTTGTTAATCTCTCTCCATACGAGCCAATTGCGTTAGCTCAGTTAGTGCCCGTGATAGGATTCTAATATCACGTGAATTTACATGTTTGCTCTCCACCCAAGATACTAGTGAATTAAAGAATTGATAATAAGAATATTCTTTGTAAAATTAACGGACTTGTCATAAAAGTAATGGCAAACAGATTACCAGCTGCTTTTCTAATATTTCTACTCGGTTAGTGATTGCTATTAGTTAGTATTAATACAGATTATTATAGTGGTGGAAATGGCATTATCAAAGCGTTTTTACATAATGTATTTTCGAATGAGGAAAAATACAACTTGTACTCAAGGAGAACTATACAAATGCGTTGCAAGGTATGAAGATGCGAATATAATATTGACCTAAACAATTATTATTTTTGGAACGTGTATCAAGTTATCTCGGCGAAAACACACTAGGTTTTACTAACTCACGACCGCAGTGTTGATGCGTAGACACTTATCCCAGATGGTTATGTTAAAAAGATTTTAATCATCCATGTTTAAAAGTAATGCATCATCAACTATTGAGCGACTCTCTTCAAGCGTCCATTCTTGTTTATGAAACAATTGGCATAGGTCTGAGTTGAAACGATTTCACTATAGTTATAACTTTTCGACGATCACTAAAACGTTAGAACATTAATTAAGTTTGTTTACCATCTCTACTAATCTAGTAAGTAAACTATTTTGTTGTATACAATTGTAGAATTGCGCATTATTAGATTTTGGCAGTCCAAATACGGTAATATTAACAACTTTACCGAATGCTAATGTAATTTGCTTTTCAACAGGTTTAATAACATGTCTAAATAGCCAGTCTGTTGATTCGTAATCGTATTAATATAATCATGTAATGTTAATAAGAACCAAAATAAGCTAATAAACATGCTTAATTTTCTAGCTAAAAATGGTCGATTTTTCGATTTATGAGCAACCGACAAACAATCATATTTGTTGAACAAAGACTTACAAGGAATAAATTAATTCATTAAAAACTTTGGCCCAGTCCATTTTTATATCTTCTATGGTTTGATAATTACAATTAATTTCGCTCACTCCTTCAAACCATCGATCCCCCAGATCGGAGGGATAACTTTGTCCCTTCAACACAATCACAGCAGTATTTTTATTCAAACGTGGTTTTTTCCGACGAATCCGACAACACTTGTATCGAGGGAATAATAAGGAGACAAGACAAATCTGTGACGCTTGACGACACTGATCGCTGAAATCGGTCCGTCGAAAGCATGCGCCTTATACAAGGGCGGAGCAATCAGCCGATGATAGCCGGTTGGCTGGCTGATCTCTATTTGGTTATTTTTAGCTGATTATGATGTATTAGTATTAGTATACAGAATGTTCGATTTCCGAGATGTTACGTAGTTGGAATAACGACCATCGATTGGTTGATGAAACCAAATGAACGGCCGATTAGGCTTAAGCTCTCTTTCTATGAAAAATTAAGAGTCTGGCGAATGAAGGTTACGTTCTATAAATAGTTATATGAGATAGAATAGCAGCCAAGGAAACAACGAAATTACGGACGTACAGTCATGACATGCGAACATTTATTCGTATGAATGAATGACATATACTGTACAGTACGAGCGCTATCTATACCAGGGTGGGTGGGATTACATTTATCACAGCAATTGTTAGGTAGGCCCCCTCAACTTAAGGTTCTCTTGTAGAACTCATGGGATGAATGCATTAGTATGCATTCAAGAGCTGAAACCAGGCTTAGTACAACACTAATCAGAAGGGATCAATTGTCAGTTATTTGGTGTTTCAGATTACTGCGTTCTCTATTTTTTTTTCTTTTCTTTTTTTCCATAGTGTAAAATTGCTGTGTACATTTGTGAAATGATAATTTGTATTGTGTCAATTGATGCATCGTTACGATTAAGCAAACCCACAATTGGCCCATTGGTTTCCTAAAATAGTGTTAAAACCACCACGTTTCATATATCTCTATTCGGTTAATTCGGATGTTTGCGGAGAACAATCACAAATATTGATATACCGTTGTTACCAAAAACTAACACGATTCATATAAATTCCATACCTCATGCTTTTCAGACTCCATCCCATCCCCATTACCATTTTCCTCCATCTTTCCGATAGTTTTCTTTTGACAAGAAACTATAAGTTATCTTCTTCCTTCTGACTTCCGGAAAGTCTTACCACGCAATAGTAATACTCTAATACTCTCATCCTCTCACACAGAGCAATAATATAATTACTGTCAAAATGTCAAAGACTATCTCCTACGTTATTTTTCTAGTGCTGGCATGTCTTCTCGGTAAGTCTTGTTTTACAGGCCACCTTTTCACAGATTGGAAATATATGCCTCAGTATAAAATCATATTGTATAATAGTATAGGACAAGTAAACCCCCCCTGATACCAACGAGACTAACAAGACCAAACCTCTCCCCCCCCGCCAACTCGCAGCCAACTCTATAGCAATCCCACTCAAGGACATTTCAACAACCACCGTGGACATTGAGAGCGAGCTCTCTCCATCCTCGGAACACGTTGTTGTCACCGTTAATCGTGTCGACGACCTTTTTGATGACGACGACTCACTTCTTGGCGAACGTGTCATAGCTGTTATGATGCATTTCGACATACAAGATGACAAACTTCTCATAAACAACGTTCCTATCGATCTCAACTCGACAAGTCTGGAAATAATTCAGGCCGAAATCGCAACTGGCGATAAAAAAATCGAGGACATTGAAAAATCCTTCGACATTGGACTCCTTACTGTCGAAGTCTCGACCGTAGTCGAGGCTATGCCTAAGAATGATGCAACGAATATTGACGTGCAACGCATTACAATCAGTGCCAGAATCATTGAAGTCGACGGAACTGATGTTATTCAGACCGAGGCCGTTGAGAAGATAATGGAGGTCAAGGTACACAATGTCTTGGATGATGACGACGAAGGTACTGAGGTTTTGTCCGTTGGAGAGGGAGAGGTCACCGTTTCTCAAATCGGTACCATCGAAAGTTCGCAACGTAAGTTGTCATAATCTTTTAGAAAGCAAACATGGTATATACAATATCGTCAAACACATGCTAATCGATAATCTTGAACATCTTAGCCAACCGTCAACGAGTCGACTGTCCCTTCAAGAACAAGGCCAGCCGTATTCGCCAGTGGTGGCGATCCACCTCTCGCTTTACGCGCATTGTTATAACTTCGATGGGACTCACTACAGCCTTTGGGATTATATTTATCGTTATTCCAACAGCGATTAAATATTGTCGCTCTCAAAGCCGGTACGAGATTGTCTCGTCGGACTCCTATGACGAAGAAATCACTCAAGTAATATACATAGCGGATGAAGAAAAGCTAGATTATTCTGAATTTACAGCGAGTAGTGAGGCAAAATGATGCAACAGTTTTCTTATTTATACACACTACTGTATTATCCCGTACAATTGTAATTAATTCAACTTTTTCACTCATTGGGCTGGCGTCTTGAGCTAACAACAAAAAAGACTTATCACTTGGCTTTACAAACGATAGCGACCAACTTGTAATTGCTCAAGTTTTGGTGACAAGCAATTTATTCAACACTTTGTGGAATATATAGCTTATTGTAAAGATTGGTGATATCCACCCTCAAATGTACTGTACATTCGTTTTGAATTCAATAAATTTTTCTTCACATGTAATTTAACTGAAAGTTGGTTCACGAAGCCATTCCCTTGACACAATCTTGAATTTAGTGCAAATTAGTCATTCTAACGGCGTGAATTTGCGATTGGGTGAATTCATCTGTCCTAGCCTTTACTATCAACTAAGGATGATATGTTATTTCGCGTCAGAATGCATCAGCTTCCGTGAATGAATCTTTTTACACAGTAACTATAACGAGTATCCTACCTCGTTCGAAATCTGTCAGTTCACAATTTAGTAATGCCAGTAACTCACAAAGTGTGGAAATAATATCGTAAAACTAGCATTGAAGTCTTCGATCGACAACTGTTTGAACGAATCCTTGATACTTACTCTCTAGTCGGGGTCTTTGTTGCTTGAGCTTTTGCTTGCGCCTGTCGAGGAGACCCCTGCATAATAAGTTTTTGAAGTACAACATACTGTTGATCGTTGCACTGCTGCCACACTGATTTGCGAAGGCTGAAACAGCAAGTTCGATATGACGTAAATGGCAGAAAAACTAAGTGATCAACGAGTTCTTTCTAAATGCAACCGTGTCACATAATATAACGTCCGAATTTACTACGAAACGCGCTGTTCTTCTACACCATTTGCATATGATTTTACAGCTGTTTACAGGACGTAAGTGCATGGATGTTTGATTTGTCGCTAGCTAAAATATGTATAAGCGAGCAGCAGTGTTGGAGAAGGGGCATACACTGTTTTGTCAAAAAAATGGGGTTTTTTCTATAGTCGGATGTATGTTATGACTCTAGACTTCTTGTCCAATAAGTGACCTAGTAGATATTAAGAATGTTCTTTGTGCCACAATAAACTTGTTACGAGTTAATTATGCTGTAACTATAGAAGGGCATATAAAGGGGGTCGTCTTCAAAATCAATTAATGCGAGCGTGTAAGCAAAACTTACGTTTAGGATGAGAAAAGGAAATGGCAATATATCTGAATCAATCTAAAGGTAGCGATATACGTAACTCAAATTCAAATGACTGTCTAATCAAACGCCTACTGTTGACTTAATTGAATATGTTTTGTCACCTGAATGAAATTGATTGGATCGTTACAAGTTTGATCATATTAACGCTGTGTATAATGGGTTGATTATATTTATTCAATTATTCGTAATTATCTTAGCTTGTTATTGTAGGACGTTGAGAATATTCGATTGCGAATGATCAACCATTTATGGAAGTTCCTACCATTGCGGCTTACAAGTTTAGGATATTCATCTATTACTGTTATCGGATGTTGGCGCAGCGGATGGCACCCCTCCGGTTACTTTAGCCAAAAAGGATCATCTGTTATCAGCAGGTTTTTCTTCAAAGGATGAATTCCAAACAAACTAATCCTTTGAATCATATTGTAGTCAAGCTCGATGAGGCTAAACGCACATGCCGCATAGAATTTGGTCAGAAAGTCATCCAGGTCGACATTCCTCCGAATTCCTCCGACTTTCCCATATCCTTAAGGAATGCCAATGCTTTCATACTGTTCAGGTGTCTGTTCGTGACGGCTTTAAAAGGGCGGATATCGATAGATTGTATAACAAACGGGCTTTTTGTTCTGCCCTCGCGGGTGATGCTTGGAATAAGGCACTTCGAAAGCTAAAGGAAATAATGAAAATCGCTTAAGCTTATCTTCAATAGGTTTATCCAAACCCGTCGGGATGGACCAATATGTGAATCTTTGGTATCTCAACTCGACAAGCTGGAAATAATTCGGGCCGAAATCGCAACTGCCGATAAGAAAATCGACGTTCTCGTTGTCATTCGCTAAATTCGCCTGCGCGTTGGTTTTCGGTTTTTTTATGATGGCCTTTTCCCCGTAGCTCAACCCTTGCATAAATGCTCAAACTAACTTTCGCTGTGGTTTCCTGATCAAGTCCTCCCTTGTTTGTAGACGGTCCCCATGCACTTTGATGATTATACGATGGGTCATCAGCAATAGAATGTCCAACGCACTGGATATGTACGCGTATTTGATAAGTACGGTCTGTTATCGGTTTACCTGATAAAGAGTCAACGAATTAAGGCGAGTGGTATAGTAAAAGTTGGATGGGCGGTTATCGGATGCTTTACGTTTTAAACTAAATACGCCCCATCAATACGGTAGCGTGTCCATTGTAATACACTCCGTTGAAAACAGTCGTGCTAGGCTTTCCGTCTTCACTGACCAAATTGCTTGTATTTGTTGTATATAATTTGCGTCACTATATAATTCCCGGAATTATATATATAATTGGTGGTACGCAATTTATATATATAA